TCGGAGTTAAGACTAGTGTGTGAGTCAGATACGAGTAGTGGTTTGGAGGATGATGGATTTAATGTTACTAACCTTAACTCTATATTTATCCTCTTCTCATTCGTAAAACCATACTATCATATCACTCTAATGACAAGAATATAACGTAATATTTCCAGGTAACTGGATTAATCCTGTCAAATGAAATATACATAGCACGAACAATGCGGAATATATTAAATCAAGCGACGAATAAGCAATTGCACGTTAATGTCACTTGAATAGAAGTGGATAAAAGTTCATAAGGGAGAGGGAGAAGGTGAGAGGGACAGGGAGGGGGGGAGGGGGCGGGGATATTCGTTTTTTCTAATTTCTGGTGGCTCCACAGTTTACAGACTCTCCCTTCTATACTCGTTCAAGAAGTCTTCTTAGTACGCCATGCCAATGTTCCTCTCACCGCTTCTCAAGAACCCTCTTTTTTCTTTGAATTCCTCTTTAACATTACATCTTGCAGCCACGTGATGCCCTCGGTTAATCCCGACCCTGTTAGCGCATTCGATGCAAAAATATTAAAGGAATGATTCGTCATAAGGTCCTGAAGCTCTAATGCTTGAATGAGATCCACAGGGGCTTTAGAATTCTTAACATCCATTTTGTTCGCAAAAAACAAAAACGGCAGCTTCTTGTTTGCAATTTCAGGGTGCTCCACCATCTGACTAATCTCATCTTTTACCACACACAACCGAAGTGCATCGCTGCTATCAATCACGAAGACGATACCCTGCACACTACTATAATAGCTCTCCCATAGCGCTCGAAATTTTCTCGCTCCACCCATATCAAAGGCGGTGAATTTAACTTTGTCTAAGGAAAACTTATCCATGTTGTATCCAACGGTAGCGGTGATATTCTCCGTTCGCTGATCCTGCGGCTTCAGCTGATTGACAATCGTGGTTTTTCCGCTGTTGTCGAGCCCACAGATGATAATGTTAAGCTTCGTTTTGGACTGCCCCATTTTCTTTATAATTTTAAGAGAAAGTCGATAGATATAAACTCTCCCGCCTCGAAGAGAAGAACAGCAAAAACGGAAATAAAAAATGCCAATAGACGCTGTGGCTCGTGGATTAAAATTTGCGTAATGTGACTCTTCTATCCTTTGTTTAATATGCTTTTAACAAATATAAACACACAAGAGAGGAGAAACAGTTATTACCTAACGAATAGTGTCGCTATTCATAGAAGACCAAACATATGTACCCAGCATCTCTCCCTTGGAGAGATATTTTGAATGAGGTTTTAGCCAAATATGCAGTATTTATTATAGAGAAGGTTATATATAGATATAAATATATAGGAGGGGAGAGATGTGGAAACCACTGCGAAGGAAAAATACGCCCATTGCTTGATGTATTCTACATTTCGTTGAATGTTTTAGGTAATTTAATATTTATAAATAAGCATTCATTTCATCACTAAACAGTAGCCATCACCATACATGGGATAGGTATGTTGTGTATGCATATGATCGCAACGTATATTTGTAGAGTCTGGGGGTAATACAGTAATAAAACATAGCAAACAAGAAACCATTTAGTATCAAAAGCGAAGGGATAATATGAGTGTTTAATGCAATGTGTGTGCATTTCCGTTCACCACACAAAGTAATGGAAAAGAGCGGAAACAAGGACACGATTAGCAAAGCCTTATCCATGATTCCTCCGCGATACTGAAGATTCATCTTCCCTAAAATATTGTGAATGAGTTTAACGCTCATGTTTCAAATTCAACACCTCACAAGAAGGAAGTTTAAAAGCCCGTAGCCCCATTTCAGTGAGAACTTTTCGTCTTAAATTTGTTGCAAGTCGTATTAGATATTTTGACGGAAAGCTATCAGGAAGTTCAGTGCATGAATATTTGAATTTTGAAACTAGTCACGCAAGTCCCGATACACCATAATAAAAATAGAATAATAAAAAAAAGGTGAGCAAAATATGCGTAAGAATTTTTTACGCGTAAATTTCAAAAGATAACGCACCGACAAAACAGGCTGCCAAAACACTACAGCAGTAATCCAAAGAGGTAGAAAGGGACCTCCTCTTAGGCCCTCCCTTTATTCCCCTCTTTCTAAAAATGGCATGAAAAAGAAAACAGCAGCACCACACATATTCTACTTCAGAAAGGACCGTATCTAGAGCATTCACTCCCCCCTTCAGTCTTTTCCATCTGCAACGCGTCGTAGTGGTAGGGATGAAGATACGGAAGAAACACCCCAAAAGACTCCGTGCGGGGTTCGAAGACAAAGTGCTGCCATTGTCGGCAGAATTGCAGAAATACCAGAAGTAGTAGCACATCGGCTCGGAATCACCAGCATCAGTACCTCGTGATCCCTATCCACCCATTCGTTAATAGTAATATCGTTTGAAATAGCGGCATCAAGTGAGATCACCAGCAACAGATGCCTCTCGGCCGTAGGGGGCTGCTGCTGCTCAGGCGCCGTCCGCAGTAATCAATGAGGAAGCGGTGGCGCGTTGCGAGTGCTCCCACCATCGTTATCACCATTTTTATTATTAATAGCATTGCCATTAAAAACATTCCCACCGCTGTTAACGAGTCATGCGATGGTGGCAGAGAAAGAGGAAAAGAGGAGTGGAGATGCTGATTTTGCCGTGATGCCAAGGGGGAAAAGGGGGAGGAGCTCGAGGAGAAGCACGGCGCGACGATAACGAGAACGCCGCGCGATTAAACGCGCCTTCAGCGGCAGGCAAGGCCTGCCACCTACACGCGGAAGATTTCGTCAGCTTTTAGTTCGACAGAAAAAGACCAAAAGGGGGGCCCCTGCCTCACGTGAGATGAGAGTGCCGTCCAGCTCTTTGCACCTCACCCCTCACGTCTCCCATAGTCAGTTTTTGTTTATCGATAGCGTGATCCCTTCAGATCGTCAGAGAGCTACTTTCCATCGTTTTTCTTCATTTGCGCTCTAGTATTCGTCAAAGAGATACGCACTGAGGCAAGAGTTCAAGATTAGGATAGCGATGTTGGACCACGCTACGAAGCTTGCGATGCTGTATTATCGATTCCCGATTCGTGGCCGCAATGACTTAGCTGCTGTGAATGTCCTCCAATTAAACAATAATGATAATAACTCAATTTCACAGATCGTGGTGGGCTAGGCCAAAAATGGCCCCGTACGATGCTATAAACGCTTGCATAAAATGGAGTTCCACTCGGTGTAAGAAACGACAGAAAGGATAAGGTAATCTGTATGACTTCAAGGTCACCTACTCAGTAATCGCCGCTCACCTCCCCCCTCCGATTTAGGTAAGATGAGGCGTTGTAAGTAGCGGTGAAAAAATAGATTGGCTAAACCTGATTTTCTTGTTCTAAGATTGGAGGTATGTGGAGGGGATAGAGAAATGATGGGAAAACAATACGGAAGCTCAAAGAGGCATCAAGTTTGCTTCCATAACGGTCAAACATAATCAACAAGTGGCTTAGGAAAAACTTACTGATTTGGCGCAACTCTTATCATAAGAGCGACCATCGACGCGGCATGTGCATGGGGGGTACTCAAAGAGAGCTGTTAAAGTAAAACAATTACTCGATTTAGTTTAGTACAACAAATAAACACACAAACGCGCACCCAGGCCAAGGAAGGCATCCCCTCCCCCCCCCTTTCCTCCTAGCCCGCTTCATTATCCTCGCGCAGCCATTCCTCCTCCAGACCGTGCAGCAGTTCGCTCACGACCGCCGCGGCGGACATCCCGCGATCCCCCAGACGGACGCTCCGCACCTGCGCTTTCGGCGCGTAGTCGACGTCGACGTCGCCCTTTGACATCCCGCCGATGATGAACGCAAAAGGGCGAAAGCGGCGCGCGGCGACGGCCTCGCGATGCGCCTGCGCGAAGGGGGCGCTCCCGGCCTCGTCGCTTGAGGCCGCGGCGGTTGGTTTCTTCGCGTCGTCGCCCTCATGGGGGTTTCGCGCGCCCCCGCGGGCGAGGGAGGCGCAGAAATCGAACACCTCCACCTCCTCCCCATCCCGCTCGACGCGGTAGAACACGGTGTTGGCGGGGATGTGGTCCCCGATGGGGTTCCGCACCACCCGCAGCAGGGAGAGGTACCCCGTGCTCGAGCGCACCTTCATCCGGAAGAGAAGGGAGACCATCATCTTCTCGAAAAGCCGCATATGCCGCGGTACGCGGAGCCGCGGGTCGACGGCGATGCAAACGCCTTTTTTCGTGCGCAAAAACACCTCCAGCTTGCCCGCGCGATTGAGAGGGGAGTCCTGCAGGTGGAGGAGGCATTGGTGGACGACGTCGGGGCGCCACTCCGCCGGATCCTGTTGATGCCGCGCGTGGTAGGCGCGGTGCCGCTCGCTCAGCAGCTCAAACCCCCGCTCCGTCTGGATGCTCTGCAAGGGGCAGTGCTCAAGGATGACAATCGCGCGCTGCCACTTCTCTTTTTCCTCCGCGATGCGCGGCAGGCGCGCGGACTTTTGGTGGTATTCCATTCAGTCCCCTAAGACCCCTATACCTGCGTGGTATCGACAAATTCTTTTACTCTCCGCTGAGGCGTCGTCGGCTTTTGGGGTGGAAATATCAACTTTTGTGTGTGTTTACTTTCTTGTTAGCTTGAATCATTAAGGCCAGCAAAGAGAATATAAGAAAGTAGTTGCCCAAGACAGAATGAAATAACTCACCCACCACACACGACTCGCATGCTCTTGGAGGCTTCCATTCACAAAGCAATTCACCACCATTCAATGATTCTTCTTTTGGTTTTGGTTACCTTGTTGTTCTCGCAAATTTCAAAGATCCTGAGGAGCTTAATTCTCCGATCGTCGTCCCAAATCACGTAAGCACACACACACACACACATAGGTAGATATTCCCACATGAGAAGGAACAATAATAAGCTGCTCTTCTCCGTTTCGCCTCCCTCTCCTTCTCTCGCTCTGCCCTTTACTTCTCCTCGACCTGGAACGTTTCCCTTTCTCGGCCCTTAAAGCAGATCGTGATTTCGTTCTTGGGATCACCACGGAGCTTATCACTCACAAAGCGGACCTCACAGCGGAACCCAACAATGGTTAGCGCTCCGGCAATCGCGCCACAGATGATATTGGAGTACCATAACTGATCTAACAAAGGCCCTGGTGGCAACTCCACGAATAACGAGAGGGGGTTATCGTAGAAGGTGATCGAAAAGGAGTCTGCGCTATCCTTCACCGGCGCCACATCCGCGCTGATGTTCAAAAACATACGAAATCCGATACGCGCGACGCTCTCCGCAGCGTGCGCGAAGGTCCGGCAGGGCGGCGCGCCGCTCCGCATGCTGTACTCCTCCACCAACCGTGCGCCGATGCGGTGGCCGACGGCCTCCAACTGCTGATTCACCGCCTCGACGTCGTCCTCCTGCGGGAGGTCGTCGATCATCTGGCGAACCAACGCGCCATAGCTGATCGCGAGGAACTCCGAGCTGATCTTGTCGCCCGCGTTGAAGGCCGCCATGCCGATCTTCATCGCGCCTTCCGCGGCATCCTGCGGGCCGGCCATTCCTCCGCGGTGACTAGGATTGATAAACTGAGTGTTAGCACTGGATACCTCTCCCCCTCCCTTCCTTTTTCTGTAGGGTTGTCTACTTTGACTAAGAATCTTGTTGAATAGACCCACCGATCCTGTATAGTTTAGACCACCACCAGGTGGAGGGGGAAAGAGGTATAAGAGGGAGGAGGATAAGGAAGCACCGGCACGACGTCAAAGAAACGACCCCACAACCGAAGCGACAGAGCGATCTGTCCTATACATTATATTTACTATTTGTGTTTGTATTTGAATTGTACATCATTAGGCCCTTCTACACTTCACGTTCTCGCTATTTTCATTTTTGTGGTTGCCTTGGTGTATGCGTAAAGAAGGCGCGTGCCGTCAGATTCGTTTTTGGCTACTCTTTCTCCGGCTACGCTTTTTCTTATTCTTTGCTTCGAGTTCCTTCTCAAACTGTCGTCGCGCAGCGAAGGCGCGGTAGAAAGCCTGAATAATTCGCGTTTGCTGAACCTGTCGCTGCTGGATCATCGCCTCATGCTCCAGCCGCTGCTCCGCGACATGGAGCTCCCACTCGTGCTCACTCTGCTCAATCTTCAACCGCTGCAGCTGCTCGCCGATCGCAACAATCCGTGCGGTATCCTCCTCGGATTCCTTCTCTAGCCGCCGTATATTCGAGCGCGCACAGTGCATCCCAGTATCGTACTCCACGATGGCGCCGCTCACGGCGGCCTCCGACTTCGCCTTCACCGAGCGCAGCTGCGCCATTTCGTCGGTGTGCTGCTTTTCGACCTCCTTCAAGGTCCGCTCGAGGGAGGCGGCGGCCTGAACCTGATTCTCAAGCTGCTTCCGATAGTTGCTGCGCTGTGCGCTCTGCACTTGACAACTGACCTCGTTGAAGGCCTTGAATTCCGCATCGGCGGTGCGCTGCAGCTGCAAGAGCTCATCCTCGAGCTGCCGAATCTCCTCGTCGAGCTCGGCCACCTCGCGCTTGCGGGATTCCTTGATCTCCTTGTACGCCTGGTTGAAGGCCTGCACGTCGGCGACGGCGGACTGCTCGCGGTTGACGGCCTCGTGCAGGATGTTATACCGGTGGATGTCCTCATTCACCGTGAAGGAGTTGCGGAGCTGCATGAGCTGCAGCAGCGCGTGAACCACATACCGCATGTGCTCCACGTCCTCGTCGACCATCCCCGCTGAGCACGCGTCCTCCCGCGAGAAGGACGCCTCCTCCGCCTTTCCAGCGAGGCTCGTCTCCGACGAATTCGCGGCCGGGGCCGCCTCCGAGGCGGGGGTTGGCGTGCCCACCGACGACGCCCCCTCCGCGTTCGCCTGGCTGGTGGAGAGGAGCTCGGTGTCCGATTTGGACCCGCTCTTCTTCTTCAAGGCCGTCGTCTCGTGCGATGGGGGGAAAAATTTGCGCAAAAACGCCTTGAACTGCTCCTCGTAACCGCCGTCTCGCAGCTCATCGATCAGCGCGAGCAGCGTCATGCGCTGCGTGCTCAGATCCTCCGCCTCGACAAGGCCCACCTTGCTCGCGTTCTCCTGCAGCTCCCGCTCGAGCACGAAGAGCTCATCGACCGTCTTGAACAGTTTGTTGTTGGTGCAGTCGGCGGGATCGCCGTAGTGCGTCGCCGCGCAGACGAAGGCCGCCGCCCGGCAGAGATGGGTGACCTCGTCGTTCACCCCAAACCCCTCCGCCGTGGCGGATTCAACGTTTGCCTCACGCTGCTGCGCGTCGAAGCGGGCGACCTCGTGGAGGAGACCGTCGCGCAGCCAGAAGCTAAACTCATCCGGAAGGAAGGAGATGAGCTCGAGGTCCTGGACGAGATCCCGGAGGACGAACTCGATCTTGTCGGCCTCGCGCCGGGTGATGGGATCCATGTCCATCACGCCCAATTCGCTTGCTTGTGCGCAAGAGGGAACGGGTAAAGGCTAGCCTATTTCCGTATGTGCTGGACTTAAACCCTCACATCAGTTAGATCGAAGAAGAAGAATACAATAGAGTGTATGGACCCGAATGCAACATGCATTGATACTGATAGATAAGAGGAAATCGAAAAGTTTAGCGCAAAGGTTTGAGTGCCTTCTAATTCTCAATTTGTCCTATTCAACAATGGCACTGCTTTACTTTATATATATAATATATATAAGAATAAAGATAATGAGGGGAAACTCATTATTTATTCAACCCCATGCTTTTAAAACTGATAAATTTTCTTTGCTTAAGGACTGTATTTTAGGAGGGGACCATAAAGGAGGCAACACGACAGGCTGAATGTGGTCGCATTTTTTTTTGTTCACCTTTTGGCGCGATTTCAGCAACTGCAAAATTGTTATTAAAGATCTTGCCCAAATCATCTGGGCGAATAGGTGTTGATAATGATGATAGCAAAATAAAACTACAATACAAAATTCGATCTAACGATGCATTAGTGGGGAAGTATTTTTTGTGGTTTCGTTTACGAATCGAAGGGGGTACAGTGATTACGAGTATGACGCCATAAATATCAAGTGCGTGAGCAGAAGCTTAGTATGATATAAGTAACTCTTCTTTTTAAGCCCACGTGAAAGTTTATGAGAATTTGCACCGCTATACTCTCTCTTTTGGTATATAAAGATGATATATACTATTCGGTATTGCATATGCATATCTACAAGCCATCCATGTTCTGCAGTTTTTTTTTACTTCCTCTGCGATAGCTCCTGATCAACTTTTATCACTAGATATTGCAAGGATCCTTTCACTATATTCATTCCCCTCACAACAACCATTCCACTCTTTTCTTTCTTTGATTCTTTCTCAGTGTGTCTGTGGATCAGACAAATGCCACACGCATCATACACGTAAATTCTCAGTAATAATATATATATATGTATATATAGATAGATGATTGAAATATCAGATCATAATAAACTCTAAAACACTTCTATAAAAGGTGATCTGAAGATCAGAAAGACATACCAATGAGTAAAGAAACATCAATTGCGTCAGGTCGATTATCCCCATATAGATGCCTACAAAAGGCAGAACATCCATATTCGCCCCAACCCAAAGTAATTACTGAAAAGGGATTGAGGGGGGAAGAAGACGCAATGGGTTGGGGATAATCTACTTTCTTGTGATTGATCCGATTATCACTCCGTGGTTCCTCCTTCTATCAGCCCTTTAGCTCACAGCAGTAATATCCCGTTCAACTTACCGTGACTACACTGCGGCGGCCTCCCCGATCGACTTCACATCCTTCGCCGTCAGCTCTATCGATGCCACGTTGCCGTAGCTCAGGGTGCTTCGGCTGACCGCACCGAGGGCGGCAATCGTGTTCCCCGCTGCCTTCGCCGCGCGCACGACGCTGTTGTGATCCTCCTTCGTCCAGACGACGCCCTGGCAGGACCCCGCCGGCACCCCAGCGTCGCTCTCTGCGAACTCCAAAAACGCCTCTGCAGCGCTCGTCACGTCAGGCAGGGCGACGCGCGTGTGCACCCACGCGAGGACCCCCTCGGAGAACTCCGCGCCGCGCACCTCGCGGATCGTGATGATCTTCCGGTCGGAGAGCAGCTTAGAGCGGATGTTTGGGGCGTCCTGCACGACGGCGCGGTACGGGGAGCCCTTTAAGATTGCCGCCACGTTAAAGGAGGTTGTCAGACAGTGCTTTAGCCAGTAGGGCAGGGCCCCACCGTCGAGCTCGGGGGTGGCCGTCTTGTTAAAGCGGAGATCGGTTTTGAGGGCCTTCTGCAGCTTCTTGGCCTCCTCCAAGAGCTCCGCGATGAGGGAGAGGTTGTTGGACTCGTCCTTCAGCGTCGCGAGAACCACATTGATAAGGTTGAGGCGGGGCTGCAGCTGCACGAGGAGTTTGAGCCGCTCCCGAAGTCCCTGCTCCAGCACGGTGTTGTAGTGCATCACGGTGTTCTTCTGTTCGATGAGCTCCTCCGCATGACGCCTCTTCAGATCCTCTTGGCGTTCCTTGGAGCGACGGATAAGTTGCTGCTCCTCCTTCTTTGCCCGGTCTTCAGCACACTTATGCACGATAAGCATTCGCATGTTCGCCTCCTGCAGCACCATCTGTTCGCGCGCGCAAGCCTCTTGGAAGGTATGCTGATTCACGAGGTGGGCCTTGGGCAGGACACGCAGAAAGACCCCCTCGTCCCGGCAGTGCACGATCTCCTTGAGGGTCTTGGCGATATCAAAGGCGTATTGCGAGAAACCGTTCGACGGCATCGTTGATGGGGGCCGCATCACGGTGGTGTTGAGCGCCTTTGGAAGGATTCCGAGACGTGCCGTGCTGGGGATGCGGAGGCTCGAGACGGAGGAACATGGTGTCGCGACCGCGGCGGGCCGTTGCCCTATCCACCCAGCTGCGTAGCTAAGATCTCCCGGGAAGTTCGCAGAGGTATTTTTGCCTACCGGCGAGCGTTTTTCCGGGGCCGGGGTCGAGGAATTAGAAGTCCCAAAGAGACGTTGAGGCACGTTAGAACATGGTGAGCCATTGCCACCACGCGGGACTTTGCTTGCTTCGAGAATCTTAGGCGTTGCACGGGTATCTATGGAATCCCGAATAGGGGGCTTGCCCGAGATCGCGCCTCCCTCGTCTTGGATGCCGCCAAGAAAGGGATGCCGGATGATGTCTATATCGAGGAGAGGGACCTCGGAATTGCAGGCCGTTGTTGCCATTATTATTTTTGCACGTTTGTTAGGAAAATAACCTTCCGTAAAATTAGGATAGCCCCTCAATAAATACTTAATATAGATGGGGCGATAATAATAATAACTCCTTTCTAGCACCCAAAAGAGAACCCTTCACGCAAGCAAACGAGGAGTAGTAACAATAGAAAAGAATGCCATAAACAGGCGCATTACCATTTAATCCATCCTCCCTACTTTACACAGCTTCTCCCGATGGAGAGGGGAGGGGGAAGATCGAGAAAGCAAACGGCAAAGTATAAACTGTCTTGGACGTATTCCACCTTTGATACATTCACATATTATGGATTTCGAAAGACTGTGCTATGAAGCTATCCAACATAGTTATTCTTAGGTCATTTTACGCTGGTACACAACAAATGTCATGAGGGCAGGGGAAAAAATGAAACAAACAGAGCCCAAAACAACCAAAAAATAATTACAAAGGTAAACCTAATTAAATACATCGTGACGTATTTGGTCAGACAGAATTAGTTTCAGGAAGGAAAAAAGTTGTGTGTAGTCGGACCTCACAAACCTTTTGAAGAGATCATCACAACAAAACAACTGAATCTGTTTTATTGCCTTTCCTGCTAACCTGTGAAAATGTAGTACACTTATTTTCAATTTTTAATACAACTCTCCTGTTTTGAAAACGTGCATCATACAACGATCGTCTATAGAAAAAGTGATAGAGATACGGTTTCAATAAGCCCCGAGCCAACATCCCTTTTCCTTCCCAAAGCAAAAAAAGGAGATGAGCGCGCATGATTATGAGAGGGGAAGGTGAGGGAAGTCAAGAAGGAGGCGGAAAGGCACAAAAAAAGAGAAACGTTAAAATAATGATCACAATCAATAGAAGGTAACTATCTACATTAGTTTATTAGAAAGACTTGAATTCATGCTTACCAGCAAGGTAAAAAAGCTATATGCGAGAAGATCAATCTTAACCAATAAACTATGGGCTCTTGCTTTTTTCATTAAGCTGATATACATCTTATTAATTCCTTAAAAACTTTCCTTTTTCACTTCGTCCTTACTCAGTGATCTGCTGCACCGTTTTGCCGCGGTACTGTTGGCTCTGCAGGACCTTGGCGCGCTTCAGTTCCTCGCGCTCGGCGGCGATCTTCACCTCCTCCTGCTTGGCTAGATGAGCACGGTATTCAACCATCTTGCTACGGCGCATCAGGTTGCCGTCCTCGACCTCCTCGGCGGGATGCACGAACTCGATGCCGGCCTGGTGGAGCGCGTCCTCGGTCGGTCCGAACATCTCCAGTGACTGCGTCATCTTATCCTTCAGCATCTCGAGCTCCTCCTCCACCTGCGCGCGCAGCTTATACAGCTCCTTCTTGGTCTCCGAGTGTTTCTTCGCGTTCGGATCGAATGTCTCAATGGCGAACTCAAGCTGGATGTGCGTTGTGCGGATGTTGCGGTCGACCTCCTCGAGACGCTTCTCCTTCTTGTACACAAGCTGACCGAGCGTCTTGTACAGGCGGCGGAACGCCTCCAGGTATTCCTGGTGCACCTGCAGCCTCAGCTCACCGAGCTCCTCCGTGGTCTTGTTGTGGCGGGACTTGATCGCGCTGCAGCTTTCCGCGACCATCTCCTCCACCATGCCTGTGCACCGCATCGCGAGGTCGCAGTTGTACACGGACAGCTCCAGGAGCTTCTTGTGCTGACCGCACACGTCGAGAAATTGCTGGTATTCCACGCGCCGCTTCTCCTCTCGGTCGTTTTCCTCGATACGCCGCTTTACTTCCTCGAATCGTTCGGTGCCCAGGCGCTGCAGCGCACGCTCCATTTCCTGAATCTTGCGCCAGGTGTCGTTCTGCTTTTCAAGGTTGTCCTCGATGAAGCGTTCGCTCTTTTCCTTTTGAGTTGCGAAGCGCTGCATGGCCTCAGCATCCTCAAGGTCGGCCTTCTGGATCGCATCGTGCAGCCTCTTAAGGTCATCTTCACAGTGGTTCTTCATGCGGCGCTTCGCGTCCTTGATGGCGGCAGCCTCCTGGAAGGCGCGCTTCTGAACGTCCTGGATGTTTCCGAACTCCTTGTTCTCGTCCTCGGTCTGCCCAATGATACGGAACTTGTCAGTCACAAGCTCCACGAGATGCTCCAGAAGCTGCGCCTTGATGTAGTACTGCTCCTCAGCGATCGCCATCTCACCGTCGGCGATGGCCACGTTGCGAATCTCCTTTGCCTTCGCAATGGCCTCGAGCTGCGCCTTGATCTGCTCCTCGTTACCCTGCAGCGCGTGCTGCACCACCGTCACGTTCATGCAGTCCTCCAGGCTCTTCACGACAGGTACGGGGACCTGCGCCATGTCGCTCGCGTCTAGCTGCGACCTGCGGAGCTCCTCCTCCGCCTTCTCCAACTTCTGGATGCTGTTGTCAATCGTACCTGTGAAGGACACGGTGCGGGTCTTATTCGGGTGCTCCTTCAGCTCACCCAGCGTCTTCTTGAGCGCCACGATCTCTAGGTACTGTGGCTTGTCCTCCGGCTTGTAGAGCTCGCGCACTGACATCTCCAGCCCGCACACACGCATCAGCTTCTGGATGTCGTACGCCTCCGTGAGAGCCCACTTGGAGCTGCTCTCGACCGTCTTCAGGAGCTCCTGTGCCTTTTCATGGGCTGCCGCGAGCTTCTGCTTTTGCGTCTCGCTCCAGTCCGAGACGTGTAGGTCCTGGATGAACTCCTCGTTTGACAGGCAGGCGGTCTTAAGCTTGAGGTTGTGAATCTTCTGCTTGCGAGCGGCCTCAAGCGTGACGTCGGACACCTCCGGCGCATTCGCGACGGCGGAACCCTCTTCAGGGTATTGCACATCAGCAGCTTGCGACATTTTTGTGTTTGACTTTTTTCTGTCGTAAATAGATTTGTTTGCTGCTTTTTCTTTTTCAGATCCTAAAGGTTAATTGCTTTGGAAGAGAATAATTCTTCTTGCGCAGCGGTTGATCGAAGTGTTTTTTAAAGGAAAACCTTATAAAGAGAGATGCGGAATTTAAGAAAGATGGAGAGACAGTTTGGAGCATTCAAAAGTAACTTATGTAAGATAATGACCATACATTCCTCCTTTTTTCTTACCCTTCAACGATATCTACACGTTTAGGAGGAGTTTCCGTTCTTTTAGTGTAGAAATTTAACCTTGATGATTTCATTCCAAAACGCAACACATTCTGCTTGAGATGGTACGCAACGACTTCTACGAATATGCGTCGTAAATCTACGAGTGAAATGGCACAATGTAGGAAGAAAAACGATAATTTAACACAAAGCTGCCTAAAGCAGGGCTCAGATTGGGCAAGATAGACTCCATAAACATGTGGAAAAAATTATGCTGAAATACTAAAATGTAGGACACTGGGGTAGCCGGAAGGACTTCGTTATTTCTAATTTCACCCATTTGCTTACCCCTACTGCAGACCGAATGAAACATCCACCAAAAGTAACGACCAAAATGATCCCAACAACCCTCGGCTGTTGTATGGCTTGCAAGACCAAGTCAACTCAGTAGGTCACTTTCCAAGCTCACAACCAAGTGCACGAACAGTCCAAGCAGGGCACTCGAATGGCAGCAGGGTCGGTTGTAGCAGCCCTCGGAGGGATATGTCTACATCGAGGGCTTCCACGGCTGCGGAGCCGTGTGGCTTTGGTGACTTTACTGACACCAATAGGAATGTGGGGTGACACCTCTGCGTGAAACAAAGCGCGGCCCACCATATTCTCTGCATCAAATCTTCCTGACCAAGGTGTCTGAAAAGACGTTCTCCTCCGCAGTGTTTGGGCAATATGAAAAAAGTCCATGAGGTTATCTTGATGTAGTCAAATTTAACTAGTGGGATATGTTAGGGAACGTCGGCTCTCGCGATGACCCTTTATTCTCCTCACTTTCCACTAAAGGGGGAGATGTCTCGTCCGTTAGATAGTGGTGCTGTCCGTCGGAAGGCCTGCATGATCCGCACTGGCAGCAGGAGTTCTATGAATCCATGTTGTGTCAACAGCTTTCTTCTGGTGGAATTCAAGTAACCTTAGCACTACTGTCTAGTCTCTGTGAAGCGTTTACCCCTGAGTTTGTGCTCCGCACCTTAATGCAAGGAGGCTCACCACTGACGCATGGTGGTGAAAAGTAAGTCTGTATGACATATAAGGACTCTGTATTCCTCAATTTACTACCTTCAGTTCCTTTTAGTTTATTGTAAAAAAAGTTACCTTAAGTACTGAAAAACACAAGAGGAAAATTTACGTGTTAGCATGTGCTCATGTAAATCCTTTACACGAGCACTAAACTAGTAACGTCAAAAATAGAATCACCACCGATGTTTTACATATCCTAGCATTCTTTAAAAGCATATACACCTCATCGATTTTTCCCTACACCGATAGCCTTATACATTGGGTATATCACAGCACATTTTCATTTGCTTACGTGTCGAACATGAATTGCGATTTGATTTTGTGCTGAGGACGTGCGTATATGCATCTCAAGCTTTAACTTTTCAAATAAACCAACCAAATCCCAGAAAAAATACATTCGTCATCTCTTTCTGTGTCATGGTTCGTGTCGGGCTGGAAAATCTAAAATACATACACATATACATAAATACATCATTTTCGATGAAAAAATACGAATAAAAAATGAAACATGAAGGTAAAAACAGAAAAATCTCGTAGACACACAGAACCGTACATCGCTTAACTATTCTCTTAGGAAAAAACGTGACGGCGACAAAGGAGGGGTGAGTGAAAAGCACGACAAATTTGTAAAAAACGAATTGCATACTAATACAGGGGCAACAGTAACTAAAGAGAGCACGGTGATACTCTTCCCCTCAAACACTCACCCTCTCTACATGTGGGCGGCACAATACTCTGTCCCACAGACCCACAATTTTTTTTTCACTTCGTCCTTACTCAGTGATCTGCTGT